GTCTTTCATGTTTTGGTGGTCCCCGAGCGGTTTTGTTTTTTGTTGTTGGGTAAGTATCGCTTTGTGGTGTCCCCAGTGATGTACTGATAGTAATATGGTCAGCCTATTGCTCCCACAGCCTACGTGGACAGCCTACGCAGTGCTTCTCACCAGCGGGCACCGGCAACTTAAAGAGACTCGAGGCGGATGCTAAACGAATACATGGCAGGAAGCACAATGATTTGCTCAAACGGCCAATGGAGCCAATACACCATCAAGCATGCTCATGTTGAAAAAGAGCAGCATCATGTAGGTGAGTGACGCTAAAGCAAGTTCGCGCTTCATCTCCAAATGACACCTTGGTATGGCGCCTTCAATCGCTGCAACCTGCAATGTCCTGACCAAGACCACCAGAACGCCCAAAACCCATTGACTTATGGGGTGAAGGTTTACTGTGGGATTACAGTAGCACAAATCAATCCACCTCGTAGAACTTCAACCACCTAGTGGCCAATAGGGGTTTCGGGTGACAGAGATAGCGGATGCTGTCAGTCGGTTCATCTGAGGCTTTCAGGACTCGAAGCCCAAAGAAGGTTTAGGAGAGATCTGCAACTTATGAACCAGCTGAAGCGCCGCAAGGGAAGCCAGTTCACCAACTTGAGACTTAGGCAACGGTATGGAGTACCGAGATGCATCAAAGTTGGGGCGGCTCAAACTCCCCCAGGCACCACCGGTACCGCTCACGCCGTGCCCTGGAGACCACAAGTCCGGCTACCAGAGACTTTTTACAAGTTGGGACTGGCGTCGGACAATTTGCCAAGACGCCATGACAATCAGAGGAGACTGAGGTTCCTTTGGTCGCTTGCCACCGGCCAGTCCGTGCTCCGATTGATACAGACTCGAATACGCCTGAGACACGAAAAAAGACGAACAGCCTCCATCAGCTGCGGAGAAAGCATCAGGAGGAAGTTTAAAGGGATTATTTCCAGCATGTCTAGGTCCCCCAGTAGTGCCCTTTAACCCTTTTTTGGGAGAGGGTCTTACTAAAATAGACTAATTACAGCAAAAAGGGTACCCTTATTCTATCCTCTCTACTGAAGGACCTAGATGTGCTCTTTTGGAAGTTCTTGGCAAGCATCAATCTTGCATTGCAAGTCAACCTGCTCCGAACAGAAACGAAGGAAAGGCGTCTAACCATTTGGCTCACCATGCCATTTGGTTCAGCACTACATGTTCAGCTTGGTTACTTTTCGTCGCTTGTCTCGGTTCGCGCCCCTGTAGCCCGCAGGAGAGATGGCCCAGAGAGCGAAAATCAAGCTCGCGCGCCAACAGGATATTTTCTGAAGCAGAGCTAAGCTCCCAGTAAATGCCGCAACATGCTTTACTAGCCATGGAGCACGCTAATACATGGCTTGTAACACTAAACTCCCGGGATTTTTGTTTGCAACCCGCGCAGCTTCGTCTTTAACGAGTTCACCCGCACGTTACGAGTGTCAGCACCCCAAGAGAAAGTCCGCATATACACTCCGTTCAGGAGTTTACGCAATTCGCGCAGCTATCGCGTAGGCATGATTTCTAGTGTTTCTTCCCGGTCCCAAAAAAGTATATTATATGGGACTTTCCCTTTTGGCGCGGTCGGTTTCACGATACCATTGCGTGATGGTTTCGATGGGGTGCACTTAGGGTAAAAGAGGAAGCTGAGACTCTTATGAGAAGGGTTCTGCCTTCAGGGGAGGCCATGGGTTCAGAAAAAATACGTCGGTGTCTCGTTTGAGGGTTGCCCTCTAGGCGCATTGCGAAATCGCAAACCAAAGGCAACGCCGGCCAAATGGGAGGTCATGGAAAACCCTTGCTTCATACACTCAGTCCGCCTAGGTTTCTGGGATTTCCTCTGGGATCGAACCCCTGAAAGAAGGCTAAAACCGTTTTGTTTTTTCGACAAGCGGAACGACGCCAACGAGTCTCCAAACCTTTCTTGCGCGTCAGGCAAAACGGCTGCGCCTTGGAGGTTCTGACGGCTTGGCAGGCCGCTCGAGGGACCAAAAGTCGAAGGATTTCTTTCTGTGGACGAAAAGTAAGTTTGCGCCACGTACCACGGTGGTTTGCAGGGAATCAGGGCTCCTTATGTGGTGCAGGATTTTTTTTCACAGTAGGACACCCTGAGATGAACGAGACATTTCAAGGGGTGGCTCCCAGCCATCCGGTTCAACTTAGCTTTTGAATGCTTTTTAGTTGGTTTGGTGGTTAGGTTTTCATTTGGCCCACTAAAAGTTAGTCTCTTTTAGCAGAGGATCTGGGGATAGTTTGCCTAGACCCATGTAAATTTCAAAGTATCCAGGTCTTATCGGGAAATTAGCTAATTGAGTCCCCAGGGCCCCAGAGTGCAGAATGCCGGGATTGAAGGAATAGACCCATGGGCTAGTACAAACAGTCCGGATCTAATACGAATTGCCCTCCCACCAATGAACACGGAGCCTGACAGAGGGGTCCGGGAAGACGATTTTCCTTTTAAAGGAGACCCCTGTCAGGTTCCATGTTAATTGGTGGGAGGGTAAAACCAAGAACATGTTTTAGCAAGAGTGTCCAACCCTGCAGGGCGATCGAGGTTTGGTGCTCGCAGCAGTGGCCGAGAACGGCAACGCCCTAGAGTTTGCGGAGGCCGCAGGGACTAGGTCCTTCAAGGGCCGCAATCAAAACCCGGGTAGGTCAAGCAGGAAGGACAGCCCCAGCCAGAAATAGGCGCCGCGACCTTTTTTGTTTCTTTGCATAGCTTTAAAGGTAGACCGGTTTAGTAGCAGGTTTCATTGTGACTCAGGTGAACCTTTTGAGGGATATTTCGGGTGGTGTCCTTTCAACTGCCATTTACAGGGATAGATTTCAGACCAAGTGACGTGAGGGAAGCGGTTGACTTCATGTTGGAGACCTTCGTTGTGTCAGAAGGTGTGGGACAAATGTGGGACAACTCGGCTTGGTGCAACTTGACAAATCGCAATGAGGCTCCACAACAAATCAAATGCTTAGAGAAAGCTATTGAGCAACTGATTGAGCCGAAATCCGATATTTGTTGACCACCGCTCTGTGACAAGTGTGCCACCCCGGCCCCCAAGCTCCTTCCAGAAACCACTCCTGCAACAGTTACTTACTCTTCTTCAGCTGGTTGCTTTTGTCCATATGGATCCACTATTAGCGATGTTCGAGCAAAGTGCAGGTAACACTTAATCAGCAAATGTCTCAATCCCCACACGACGATCCAATGATCCGTGGTTGAACCGCGGAAATCCAATGTCTCGGATTTTGCGTTTGAAAGCGCCGCTCGAATCCTTCGAACACCACGGCTTTTCTTGAATTTACCAACCACGCATATTAGTTGAAAAGAAACCCCGCGCCTTTTGTTATGTAAAGGCCCGTCCCGTTGCTTTCTTTGCAGGCCCGGAACACTATAAACCGATGCTGAGGAAAAAAGCAGATACCCGTAGAAGCCATATCAGGTCCAAGGCGTTGTGGCAGACCAAAATTGCGGAAATCATAGATTTGCAGGGCCCAAACCGATACCCAAACCGATGCCCAACCAAGACCCAACTCATCAGCCGCGATGCCGAATCCGACCAGCTGCCCTGGAGCTGCTAGAATGTACTTTGTGTACTACATTTGTACTGAAGAGTTGCGATTGTCCAGCTGGAGCCGGACTTGCCAAGATGTACTTCGTACACTACACTTGTGCTGAAAAGTTGCAACTTTCCAGCGTGAGCAGCCGAAATGCGCCTTGCGCGCTACACTTGTACTGAAAAGTTGCGACTTTCGAGCTGGAGCTGTGAGAGCGTATGCTGTAATACTAGACTTGTACTGAAAAGTCACAACTTTCGAGCAAGATCTTCAAAAACACTGCAAACCAATGCAGCGGAAAACGCGATACTGACCGATGCGAGGGTACAAGGTTACAAGGGTTGTCCACTGTTTTTTCCAGCATGCATCACCTCACTTCAACAAGGGGTGTTTTTCTGTTGCCACGCATGTTTGGTGACGCGCTTGAAAGGGAACACTTTTTTGGAACTCTTAAATCAGGGTACTTGGCTGTACATGGGGCTTCTAGGTTTACACCTTAAACCTTGGTTCTAATTATTTAGCCCCTGTTACCTCCAAAACACAAGAACTACTCTGTCCCCCAGTAGCATGGCATCTGACGTTAGTGAATGTCGATGGGAAGGGTAGTCTAGTGAATTTCCACAAAAAAGTGCCTCAGCAGGCTATGCTCCGCGGGGACCGAGATTTCGTGCTGGAAGCGCTGCGCCAGACTGCGGCGGCGGCTCCAGCTGTGGCCTTTGTAGCAGAGGAGCTCCTGAAGGACGCGAAAAGACGAGAGTTGGGTCAAAACCATGGGCACCCTTTTGGGGTAGGTGAATTCACCACTCATAGCAGGCTTTATTTTAGTGGGGGTTGGGATGTTCACTGGGGGTACGGGGTCTTGACCCATGGCCAGATGACAGTTGGGGTGATGTTTCTCGACCATTTCTGGTTGGGTCATTTGGTGAGAAACTGGCTGGTGGTTTCCCATTTAACCTACTTGGCGTGACTTTGAACTGGAGTTGGCGTCTAGAAAACGAATTGGATTTGCGATTTTTATGTGGATATCACAAATGTCTCTTTTAGTACAATATGAATATTCTACAGGGGTGGATCCACAAAAGTCGCATCCAAACCGTCTTCTAGAGTTGGGGTCATGTGTTTCGACCAGCACCCTGGGGGTGGTAGGGAATGACCTTCTGGGCTTTGAGAATGAACCGGTTTTAGGGATGTGGCAATTTGTTCCTCAGGAGTCGTCAGGAATGTGCCAAAACCCAAAAAAACATGCCGTTTTGGTTTTCGTGTAAACATTTTTTTAAGTACCCTTTGGAAAACACAAACACAAAGGTTGTGGGCCTTATTCCCCCAGGATTGATTGATCAAAATGGGAGAACCCCGCAATGCCCTCCAAAACCTGGGTGAAAAGTGTACCCTCATACAAGCGCCAGGAAGCATCGGAACCCTTCCAGAACCCTCCCTGAAAGCCACATAGAGCTCGGGCAGCGACCCATAGCTCTCCCAGAGGCTGATTTGGCTGAGGATTTGTGTTTTACAGATTCCTCAAATGCGCGAATAGGTTCTTGGACTGGCCTCATGTATCAAAGTCACCCCAAGTAGGCTCAAGGGGAACCAGCCAGTTTCTGACTTTGCTTGCTGGTTCTCAGCAGGGAATGAGGGAATGACCCCTATGAACCATGCCTATGGTTGCCTAGCTTCAAGGGAATATTTCCATCACGAGCAGCAAGACATTTATGCCTCTTAGAATCGCTTATTTCCAATCCTACCTCTTCGTGATGGCACTCAAGGGCTTGGAACATCGTATTTGGTGGGTCTGCGGATTTCAATTCCGCGGATTTTGCATGGATTTCCATGTATTTCCGTGACATTCACAACACTTTTCCAGCAGGGCTGGCTGAAACATGCAAAAGTATGCTAACTTGCAATTCCTTGCATGTTCCAGGATTTTCGCTCAAACCAGCAAAGCAATTTGTTCCTCTTTGAGGGTCCAGGTGTGGGAGGGTTCTCGCCACAAGCACCTAAACTGAGTTTGAATCCCCGCTCCAAGATGACTGACGGGGCGATGGCAGGTAATTATGTTCAACTGTGCAACACCAGGTAATCTGGTTATGATCATTTTTGCAACTGAGGGGCAGCTCGAGTTGGTGCGCCTATGACAATCGCCTGCTTACTCACAGGGTCATTCCACGCTGTTCCATGTGCCTCACGCTGAGACGCCTGCAGGAAACTCACAAAGTTCCAGGGTTTGGGGACCTTCTAGATTCTAGATGCCCGACACCACAAACTCAGCTCAGAGCGAGAGCCATTTTTCAGGCAGACGGGTCCTGTGATCCAATCGGGGGTGATTTGTGCAGGACTCCTCCTTCGTGCTCGAAGCAGTGAGGATGAACCCTTGGACAATTGGATATCTGCCTGCAGATTTCCAGAGGCATCCCGAGATTGTCCAAGAGGCCGTCAAGCGGAATGGCCGGCGATGGAACCCTTTGCACCCCAATTGCAAGGCCAGTGGTCGCACGACCTGGGCGAGGAGGTACGAAGGAGCGGCTTGACGGTGCTGGCGCGTTTTCGCAGACGTCAGGCTACGGAGCGCCGTGCTGGACAGCTTGAACAGTTGTACAGATGCCATACGCATCCAGAAGCCAAAGAGACGCTTTTGGGGCAATGTTTCACAGCACGCCAGAGAAAGTGAATCGCGCTTTCAGGTTGTCAACTTAGAGTCGCGCTTTCAATTGCCGCTACGTTGTGTTTGATTTGTGAAGGGCATGCTGAGGGGAAGCCAAATCTATGCGCCATTCAGGGGCTGCAGTCATTGCTTTTTGACTCAAAGTATCTCAAAGCATGTCCACCCCCCGACTGAAGCTATTAAGCCAACACAAGCTGCTCGAGAACTGATGTGTACCTTTTTTGCGAGGGCGTGGTTGCTATGGGTCAACGACGAGAGCTTCCAGTCCAGTTGCCCACTTTTCATTCACTGGTGTTGTTTTCCAGTTTGTATTCGTGCTGTGGCAATCAACAAGTCAAGGTTAAAGGTTGGTCAGATGGAGATGTCCCATGGGCTATGATGTTCAATAGGTACACGCCTCAGTGGTTGACATAGATCCCAGGCGAAATCCCCCGTTAAAATGTGCGTTCATGCAGGCTGTGCGCGAAGACGAGCAGAAAGCCTTGGGCATTGCGCGGCGCATCCTCATGAGCGAGGAGGCGCCTTCAATGTGAGCCACAAGTCAATCCCGCAAAATGCAAGTAGTGGTGGGTAAGTATTACCTACATAGATTGTATGGAATATTCATTGTGGTCCCAGCTGACATGGTCAGCCCCGCCCCCCATGTTCTAAGTGTATTTTGGTGATGTCCCATGTTATTCCCTCTAGCGTGGGCAACGGCGCTTGTCGTTGCTACAAGGAATCATCGATTCCCACTTCCCAAGCCGTTCGCGAGCGAGGTGAGCCCACTGACATGAGAGTAGGTTCCTGTGGACACCAGGTTGCTTGTTTGCGCCAATCCGCTAATGAGAAGCACTGATCTTGAAAGATTCCGGCCAAGGTCAAGTCTCAGGATTTCTGCTTGTGACTTGCTGGTTCTCAGCTAGATTTTTTGGGAATTACCCAGAAGCGAACCATTCACCGTTCCCTCCTTTTTCCTCAGGTTTTTCGGGCTTTTGGGTTTCGTGGTTGGGTATCCATTTAACCCACTGGAAAGTTAAACTTTCAGCCGGGGATCTGAGGACAGCCCAGTTGAGACCAAGGGTGTCCCATTCCGAGAGGCGGACACATGGAAGCCACGGACTAGAAACTCTTCTGCCGCAGCCTTTAGGCTTGATTTTGGGCCATCTCAAGAGAAGCAATTCGGGAAAAGCCTTCGATTCACTCGAGCCCACAATCCATGTAGATAATATTTACCCACAATTCACCTCGTACATCTTGGAAGGATTCGGTGCAGAGTGCTCATGAGCTGGTCTTAGCAAGTCAGGAACCCCAAGCCAGCTTGCGCCAAAGGACAAGCATGTGTGTAGCATTCTGGAACCCATGTGTAGGAACCTCCTTGGGTCAAAGCAGTAGCAAATTGTGGGTGCAGTCCTTCCGAGGCTCGAGAATTTACCTCGAGTTGGTACACTCGGACAAGCACTGATTGCAAGGGCAAACGCAAACATGTTCTCTTGAGGCATGATCAGCTTTTCAATCCCATTCATGACTCTAGTGTAGGTACGCTGTGAGTTGCAGCACACTCCTACAAACTCCTGGCCCTAACTCATTTGCAATATATATATATATGCATCCAAGGGGAGACAGGACACCTCCACAACCCTGAGGCCAGAGGCTAGGTCTCGGTTTTGGGCCGCATGGCCACGCTGCAGACGCTGGAAGCCTTTGAGGCGATGAAACCAATCCACATTTCAGATGTCCAGACTTGTCTAGTCAGGTAGCCCTTAATTGGTGGTTTGGAACCCGGTGGATTTGGATTTGATCCCTTAGGGTAGAGGGGAAACACCTCCTTAACCACCAAACCACCAGTCCAAACCAGCAATTCGAGGGAATATGGTGCATTTGGGGTTGATGAGAAAGGGGCCTATTCGAGCTCAAACAAAATGCAGGGGACAATGCCTATTTTTCGAAATCTCAAGCTCACTTGCCCAAAACCTTTTGACAACTTTTGGTTTTCCTATTTGGGGTTTTCCCATTTTTAGTTCTGGCCCCAAAAGGTTAGCCGTTAGTTTCCGGTGCTTTGGGCAAGTAAGCCAGGGGAAACCAAGTTGTGCAAAGTGCGCGTGCCTTTCTGGGCAGATAATTGGGGCGATCAATTTGGAATGGGAAACAGTGTGCAGTTTCCACTGCTTCTGCGGTCTGTTTTCATGGATGCCCAGTCTGAATCACTGTAAATGCACAACAAGAATCCAAATTGCTTGTACTGCCTGCATGTGGTATGTCGTGGTTGTCCATGGAGAAGCCAAGGAGAAGCACCCAACAGGCCCTTGTGGAGGCTTTCATCGGTGATAAGACCCCCCCCCCTTGGACCGCGTTGGAGGTCCGTGGTTCGAGCCTGGATTGATAGAAACAGAGTCCGGTGTGCTGGGAATGATGCAAGTCGTGGCCGCCATCTCAGTTTTATGGTTCTCGGTTGTAGACGCTATATACAACCTTGTGATGCAAGCCTGCTCCATGTCGGGGTCATGGGATGGCAAGCGGGTACTTAGGACCAAGTTGGTGCATGGACAGAACTGGCCCCATCTAGCGCCATTTTGCTTTCAGATAGCCACCGCATGGAGCCCACAAGAGGGGCATTATGGCCTTGCACACCCAGTCAGGTCACCAGGTCCGTCTCTGGCTGTGACAATCACTGAAGCGACCTGAAGCCTTTGACATGGGGCAATACATACTGGTCAAAAAGGACCTGCTTGGGGTTACTTGGAATGGACCTTGTATCCTGGATTTCAGGGAAGCATTCTCATGACGCCCAGAAGGAGTTTTGACGATCGAGCATATTAGTTTATGTCATTTTTTGCAGGCAAGAATGAATTGATATGGACGTGTCCTGAAATAGGAGGCCTCTAAAGTTGTTCGGTTCCTTGATAGTTTGCCTTGAAGGAGCTACCCCTTCGGTTTAAACTCAGTTGTTGTTTGCCAGCAACCCATTGCAACTAGAACGGGCACCTCATGTTGGAGAGCCACGTTGTCCGCAATGGAGGCTCTGACGAGGCTTTGGCGATGAAGGTTTTGTCATTTGGTTGACCTATCCGAGTACCAAGTAGGTTATGAGTCATAGCACCACCTTTTAGCACCATGGTTTTGCACCCCAACTGGTTGCTGCCTTCAGCATTCCACGACTTAATCAACCTATGACTATAGACTATCGCGATTTCTGAGTTAGTTGCAGCTCCCTCCCCGAGTTCCTGGACTTCGTGTTCTTTGGGAAAACAAGGATGCTGTAAGAGCCGGACTCGTTTGCCGAGATGATCGAGGTTAGTTGCAACCTACTTGCCCATGCGTTAGTCTTAGGTCTTTAGTATGGCTGCAGTTCCTCCCCTTACCACATGGTTTTGATGCGGGTTTCCCTTGGCTGGGAACAACTTTTGGGTCAGTTAAAGCACAAAAAAACGCAATGAGAACGGGGTTTTAAGCATTCCCGGGAATATCCTCCAATCGGGAGGCCTATGCGGCGGAGCTGTTTCCGCTGGTGGGCGCGGAGGTGCTGGAGCAGGCGACGAGAGAGTCTGAAACACGCGCGAAGCGATCGAGTTGCCTAGGGCCCCCAGCAAGTGCCCCCCCACTTTTTGGAGATTTCCTTAAGGAATCCAAATTGGAAATGGATGGTGTTTCCTTTTGTCAAAATCCATGTCTCATTCCCCTAGGTCCACCAGTGCCCTTTCTCACCCCTTTTTTGGTTGGGAGGGGAACCCCCGACCAAAATTAGACTACAGAAAAAAAATCGAGTCTCTCAAAACTGGAGGACCTGGCTGCAGATACATTCCATTGCTTTTGGCCTTCAGGCCGTTTTTTTTTGTGTCCCAGGTCTGGTTCCTTGCAGACAACTTTCATTTGCTGAAATGAATATTTGTGTATTTCCCCCTGTTGGGCTGAACGGGAATCTATCGCTACTGGACATATGTTTGTGTTTTCCAGGGGACTTAAGCAAATGGAGGATGAACTCCAAGACACCTACATACCTTTTGACCATCCTGACAACCGAACAATCGGGGATCTTCACGGGAAGCTTTGGGTATGCTCAAATGGTGTATTGGAGGGTTCTTGGATAAAAGGGAAACCAGGGAGATTAGCTGGTTGCTTTTTTTCACTTTGGTTTGGGGAGGCTGGAGATTTTGTCCTGGCCGAATTTAAGTATGCTGGGGTGGCGGGTTGCTCCTCGTCCGCAGGACAAGCGCCCAAGACTTGTTGTTTTTAGGTGGGTGGTGTGCTCGTGCGCGTGTGTGATGTGAGGGTACCCGTTTCACCTCTGAAGGACGCCCAAAGCCATTGGGCCAAGTAGATCAACGTTGGGACAGGTTGTATTTTTGTCTTTGTTGTGACTATAGCGACATTGCCAGATGGGCGTGTCTTTTTTTGAGGGGGACCCCGAAAATGGTGGTGTTCCTTCTGGTTTCCCTTCAACACCAGGGAGATTAGCTGGTTCCTTTTTTTCGCTTTGGTTTGGGGAGGCTGGAGATTTTGTCCTGGCCGAATTTAAGTATGCTGGGGTGGCGGGTTGCTCCTCGTCCGCAGGACAAGCGCCCAAGACTTGTTGTTTTTAGGTGGGTGGTGTGCTCGTGCGCGTGTGTGATGTGAGGGTACCCGTTTCACCTCTGAAGGACACCCAAAGCCATTGGGCCAAGTAGATCAACGTTGGGACAGGTTGTATTTTTGTCTTTGTTGTGACTATAGCGACATTGCCAGATGGGCGTGTCTTTTTTTGAGGGGGACCCCGAAAATGGTGGTGTTCCTTCTGGTTTCCCTTCAACACCACCAAAAAGGGGAACCCTCAAACAAGACGCACCCAAATGGCAGTTCAAAGAAATGAGCTTCATGAACATCTTGGGCCAAGCAAACAAATTGCCATATGGATTCCTGCCAAGTTCCCTTCCAATTTCATGCAGCCTGACACTGCTATTGGGTGGCAATCCCAGTCATAGGCTTTCGTCCATCTCAACTGGGTAGTTGGTTTCGATAGGTTTGGCAGTTTTGGGACACCAAACAAAAA